TCTCATATATAAATTATATTCCCCAAAAATATATTTTGTGACTTATTTACATAAAACAAAAATAATGAAATATAAATCATTATAATTGGTGTATTATAATACTTCTATTTTTAGGTCAAAGATATTTAAAAACATATTTAAAATGATTTTTTATTGACAAATATTTGTCCAATGTATAATTTTTATAATAAATTATAATTTATTTATAAAAATGAAGTGGCAAAAATATAATTGGTGTATTATAATTATTTAATTGTTTGCATTTAATACATGGAAAATTACTAAATTTAAGCAAATCATATTTATTATAACATTTGTGATTTAAATATTAGACCCTTTTACTAAAATTCTTAATTGCCCTGTAAAATAAACACGTGTCATGAATTTACAATCAATATAAAAGGATGAAAAATTAATTTAAGTGGTAATCTATTTTCTCAAGTTTACATGAGATATAAGGCTTTTTTATGTTTTTTATATGTATAATCTAATATATTTATGTGAATTTAAAATATAATTTAATTTTTTTTTTAAATGTTTATTTTTTTATTATTTGTATGAACTTAAAGTGTTATTAATTTAAGAGAAATCTTGTAATAATGACATTTATACTGTATTTATAAACACGATAATCAACTTCTTTTTTTTCTTCTTTTTTTTTTATTTTTTTTTATGTGTATAGAAATTTGAACCACATTCAAAATGGATTTCATAACTAGAGTGTGAGAGATACATTGTTACAATTTTAGTTTATTATAGTATTTCTTTTTCTTTTTTTTTCTTTTCACAATCAGTATAGTTTGATTTAAGGATCAGTTCTGTCATTAAGTAACTTCAGTCTATGATTGCAGTTGCAGAGAATCAAATTGTATTTCTATCAAACTCAGCATTAATCATAACTGGACTAACTAACGATTGGTGCATTTATCTTAATTTAAAGGATATTAGAGGAATGTGGTCGGTCTAATTGTTTATTAGTCTAAAGCGTTGCACGAAGGGGGGAGGGAATTTACCTGCAATGCACTTTGATGCTTGAGTCTGAAAGAGTGAGAGATAAGTGAGAGTGAGAGTTATCAATAGAATACTTGACTCTTCTATACAGGAGAGTATTTATACAACCCCAATGTTGGGTCAACGATCTCCATTATAGACTGAATATCCAGACCCATAATAGATGATTGCCAAGATTCTCATGTAAGAGTGAGGATGAGCAGCACATACTCATCATCCTGGGTGATGTGCTCCGAACTTCGCGAGTAGTGGAAGGACCGCGTCCGTTACGAAGGACATAACGGCTCTGAAGTGTGTGAAACACGCTGACGATGTGTCCTCGAGTGAGGAGCGTGTAGGGAATACATCCCAGATCGGGCTATGATGTATTGGGTCATCATTTGGTCCCATCTTAGACATAGAAACAAGTTAGGTCGTACCCGACAATGGACCAGTCACGGACCCAGTCCAAAATATTAATATTATCTTCAACCTCTGCACCTGCATAATTAAGTCGACTAATCAAATTTTCCTTCTTCATAAGATATTTTATATTTCAATGCATACTTATAATATCTTCAACCTTGATACTTGCATAATTATGCCATATACACATCAATTCTCCTCGTTAGTTCAATTTGTCTCATTCATTCATTTTTTTAAACATTAGTAGTTAATTCATGAGTTATCTTTTCTTGCAAAGTCAATCTCTCGTTATTGATGAGGGAAATTGAGTTACAATCTAATGTTTTAATCAAGTCAATTAAGCTGCAATCTAAAGTTTTCATCAAGTCAATTTTTCTTCATAAATGGCAAATGAAGGTCAACTTAACAACTCACACTTCAAAGTTTGAGTTGGCACATATACTTCACTTGTCTCTAAGTATGATAAATAGCATTGTCAACTAAGATATTAATAAACATTAACAAAGTTCATCTCTTCTTCAAACCTATCTCCAACTATCTCTTAACCTTATTTCCACAAAACTGTAATTCTAACTCCAAGTATCGCTCGTCAAAATCTTTCGTAGTTCACGTATTCACCAAATTACTTCAATGTAACAGTGTTCTTCCTTAAAAATTTTAAGGAAATATTCTTTTCACTCTTTAATGTGTGTCTCACACTTTTGAAAATTTAAAAATATCATTTGTGTCCGAAGATACATCTTCGAACGCACCTAAAATTACATTAGCTTTTATTTTTCTAATATCTATCATATTTTGCTATAGAATAGATTTTGAGATATATTTTTGTATGGAGATACATCTCTGAAACACCCATATACTTATTTATGGTGTTTTTATTCACTAAATTTATTTAATTAACAACTCTGATGTTTTCAGAGATACATCTCCAAAAATATCAAATAAAAAATTGGATAAAACACCGCGTTGCATGATCTTCTTCTTAATGCTAAAAACAACTTCAATCTCAAAATCTTGAAAAAATTTCATCCATTCTCTATCAACTATTCGACACCAAAACTTTATTCTTATATTTTATGACATCATAAGGGGAAAAATAGAATTTAAGATAAAGTTTATTCATTACATCCTTTGTTCCTTGCATTAATGTTTTTTTTTTTAAATTGAAAAATTGAACGTTGAGTAGGATACGCATCACCGGATCATTATGGATACGCATTACTGAACCGTTATGGATTTATACGAGAATTAACATGTCACCCCTCATTTTATACATGTCATCCCCCCAGACATGGCGTAATTACGAAAATGTCCCTAAAATATATCGAAATTTTCGAAATTTCTGGTTCCGTACCGGAAATTTCACGCAAATACGTAAATTTCGTTAAATTTTCAAGTTTTTACCGTGCTAGTTGGTTGATACCAAAATTTTGAAATTTTCGATACCGGATATTCTAAATTTCTGGTATTTTTCAGCATTAAAATCACAAACCGAAAATTTGGAATTTTCGGTGTATGAAAAATATCAGAAATTTCAAAATTTCCGATATTTTTTTGTATTCTAAATACAAACCGGAAATTTGAATTTTCTGGTGCATAAAAAATATCGGAAATTTAAAATTTCCGGTGCATAAAAAATACCAGAAATTTAAAATTTCCGGTATTTTTTGTATTCTAAATACAAACGGGAAATTTGAAATTTCTGATGCATAAAAAATACCAAAAATTTCAAATTTTCGATAATTATATAAATGGTATAGAAAACATACGGTATCTGTGATATGAAGAATTGCGTAAGATCAATACATAAATCCGTAGAAGAAACCGAAGTTGTCAATTCAGGACCACAAAGATATAAAATTTCATCTGCAGATATATTGAAAATTTCAAGTTAAATTTTCGATACACCGGAAATTTGATATTTCCGGTACAAGTTTTGTACATGGAAATTTTCTAAATTTCCAGTATTTGTAGAACCTTTTATAAAATTTACCGGAAATTATAAATTTTCGATAAATCGCAATCGGAAATTTCAAAATTCCGGAATGTCATTATCGAAAATTTGTAGAATGTAAAGAATTTCTGGTATGCGACAAAAATCAATATCAAAAATTTATTAAGAGTACTGAAAATTTCAAAATTTATCCCTTTAACCAATAGTATTGTTTTTGCCAAAAATAAAAAATCTAGAGTAAATAGTGAAAAAAATATTTTAAAAATACTGAAGATTGGGAAATGACATATATAAAAAGAGGATGAAATATTAATTTCTCTTTATACGAAGATGTATCTTCAAAAGAATGTAAAAAAAGAAGTGTGTCTTTTCCCTAAAAATGATAATTAGGGTTGCAGCAAGTCATTTGATATCCCTATAATGCATTTGTTAAATGCTCATGAACTAATCAAATGTTAAGCGACATTTCTTCCGGTCATAATTATGAATCAAAATAAATATTTTCACATAGATTAAAATAATTAGTTAAGTATAATTAATTTTCTTAATTTCATGTCCAATCAAAATAAATTTAATATAATATTTTTAATTATATTTGATAAAATCAACTATTAGTATTAAATACTTTTGATTTAAAATAAAAATATAATAATAATATAAATATTAGTTAGTCTAAAAATTAATGTCTTTTATTTATAATAGTGACTAAAATTTTAAATAATTTTTTTATTTATAATAATGATGAGAGAAAATATGTAAGAACTGATCAAATTTTCCTTATTCATCAGCCATTTTTACATTTCAGCATGATCAAATTTTCCTTATTCATCAGCCATTTTTATATTTCAGCATTAATAATATCTTGAACTTTGGTACTTGCATAATTAATCCATATACACATCAATTCTCATTGAACTCATTTGTTCATTTATGTAATGATTTAATTCAAGACGTATTTTATCTTGAAGTTTTGCAGAGTTTATATTCCTTTTGGTTTGAATCTTCATACTTTCATTTCTCTAACTTTCTCACTCTCTTAATCTACTTTCTCTCACATATTTTTCTCTTCAAAACTAACATCACTTTCTTTTATTTCATCTAAAAATTTAAGTAAAGTTGCTCTAATTTTATTTTTCTCTTCAAAACTAACATCAATATTTCTTTTATTTCATCTAAAAATTTAACTAAAGTTGCTCTAATTTTCTCACCCAAAAGTTAGAGAATTGTGTCCATCCCGTTGGGTTTGAATCCTCCTTTCATTTCCTTAATTTCACCTAAAATGTGAGAAATTGAAGCCAATTTTTCTTCATAAATGGAAAATGAAATTGTAACAACAACTCACACTACAAAGATTGAGTTGGCACATATACATATACTTGTCTCTATGTACTCACACTACAAAGTTTGAGTTGGCACATATACATATACTTGTCTCTATGTATGAAATAGCAACTCGCACTTCAAAGTATGAGTCGAGAAGAGAGTCATCACATCTTAAAAGCCAAACCGAATACTATAATCCTGTTTTCTGATAACATACATGTTTATATTAAATCATAAAGACAGAGAACTTATTTTCATAACATAGCATCAAGACTCTTATTATTCGTGAAAAGCCAGAACTCTACACTCAAGCAAGCTCCTTCAGAAAATCTTGATTGTCAACCAACACCTACAAAATTTATACAAATTGAATCATACCACATACTTAGGATTTATAAAGGAAACGAATTCATCAGTGTAAAATATGGGACATGTTCAAAGTGCAGTAGTACTCCAATGCTGCCCCACACGGTCAAACGTGTTATCTTTTTCTTTTCTTTTAGACAGAAGTCAAACATGTTTTCTTAAGTGCATAAGATCCGACAAAATCTAAATCTTAATTGAAAGGTACGTCAAATGCTATTGATATTTATCTCTCTCAACCATGCTTTCATATTTTAATAAAACATGATTTTCTTAACAAATTTTAATACACGAACAAGGATGGCAAAAATGTTGAATTCAATAATTAGATGAATATTGATTCTGAGTAAGGACACAAAATCCTCTCTTTTTAAGTGAAGTGTTCTACTAAACAACAACAACAACCAAGTCTTATCTCACTATGCGGGATTAGCAAAAGTCTTCCTCTACCTCTAGTTGTTAGAGGTTTCTCCATCTATTATACTTAGAAGATAATCTACATGTCTTCTCTCCCATGTACAAAAGCCAACACACTCTTAATGTTGTTCAGAACAGAATGTTGGACAAGTTTATTTAAGTATCCAAACTTATGACCACTTAAAGTTGCTAGTCAGAATGAATTCCTCGATACTAAGCCACGTACAAAAATTACTTCTTAACACCCTCGGGACTAAACATCCTTATACCAAGAGAGACTAATTGATTTAAGGATCCTCTAATAGAGTAGCAAAATGGATGGATTAGATGTAAATACTAACACATGGGTCAAAACAATATAATTCCATTAACAATACACAATTTCTTTGAAAAATTCAATCAAATTCATCCCGGATAAAATCCATTCTTTTCAATAGATTAACATTCATCCATCCATGAAATAAATTCAAATATTTTAATTATATTTTTAAAAATATAATGGATGGATTGGATTGGATCCATCCATATTTTTAATGGGATGGATTAGATCAAATCCATTAACTAATTTTATGAAATAAATGGATTGATAGATTATTTGGTGGATGGCTTGGATAGATTTTAGCTTAGTGAATCCAATTGCCACCCCTACCCTCTAATATGGACCTTATGATTATGAAAAGAGGTTCAAACCTTACACAGCCGCAGACAATACTTCCTAATAATTCCAATCTAATTTTTCGTACCAGAAACCAGAAACCAAAATGCTGAAGATACATGAGATGTGTAACTTCAGAAGGTCAAGTCTCTCTGCACTTTATTAGTTTATCACCAACAATGTTTGCCCCATTACTATTTTTCTTGAACTTTAGATTCTTCTATATTATTCGTTCTAGTCAACTGGTGGACACACTAAGCAGCACATACAAACAGTGCATAATCTGCCCATCATATGTGTGGCCCATCTCTTCCAACTTACGTGTGAGTTAATCAAACCATCATGTGGATCATCCATCAGACCAGGCTCTCCATCACAGCTACCATCAACATGAATCTCTCCAGCTTCACAGCCCCTTTCATACTAAGCAAGGGCATTGTCATGGACTTTTTCATGAACCCATGCCTTATAGTAGGATTACCAACAGCCATAGAACTGTGCACTGACTGCCTCTGTCTGTACCCCCGTCCACCTCTTTCTCTTCCTCCAGGCCATGGCGGTAGCATTGACTTTCTTGCACTAAGCATCTCCATCCGTGCACCATCCACCTCTTTCTCCTCCTTTCTCACAGCTTCTCACAGCCTCTACAATCATATGACAAGAGACGCATATTCTGTCCATCATTCGTTCTGTCTGCGTCTTGCTACTCTTTCTCATCATTTCTCACAGTTCTTCACGACCTCTAAAATCACATGATAAGTGGTGCATAATCTGCTCATCATATGCTGCCCGAGTGAGTTGGGCTACAGCCTACAAGTCCTACACTCAAACCAGTGGATCCTCCATCAGGCCAAGCTCTCCATCACAGCCACCATCAGCACGAATCCCTCCATCTTCACATTTGCCTCCGGCCTCGGATCCAACTCTTTCCCCTTCCGTTCTTCCACCTCCCTCACCACAAGCCCACTTATCTCCCACCCCTTTCATATTAAGCAAGGGCATACTCACGGACTTTACCATGTGATGATGCCTTAAAGTAGGACTATCAACAGCCAAAGTATTGTTTGCCCACTTCTTCTTGGCCATGAACTCATTTTCAATTTCTTCCCCAATTTTAAGGCGGTGGCATGCATCCTAACTTCAAATATTCGAGGACCTAAAAACTTAAGTACAGAAACATCATACTAAATAATATCAAACCGGGCAAACCACGCTGCAATCACGTGTTGCCAAAAATATCCATGTTTGCGGTGGCGCCAGTCTACATTCAATTTTTTAGAAACTATTCTTCTACACCATACTTCACAATTATGTTAGCTTGTGATTATACCAATAAAACAGGTATGACATTAATGTCGCATTTGATAAACACTAGCACAACAGACAAAACACAAACATCAACGTACTAGACAACTTTTTATCCAATATGGTGTTTGGTGGACAACGGACAACACAATATTTTAGGTAGCATGTCAATGGACAATATTTGTCTAGTGATTTGGTAAGGAACAGGATAAAAAAAATTTGTCCAGTCTATCACTCTGTTTGTCTAGTACTGTGTTCACTATTCAAATAAAACATGGAGCAATGATTTTTGCCCGCTCAAATCCTTTATCAATTTGCAAATTAAAGGTTGCCCGCTCAAATCCTTTATCAATTTGCAAATTAAAGGGACACTAAGTCACAACCTCCCTCAAAATTAAAAAATTAAACACAGAAATAGGAACAAAAAAAGAAACCGTACTGTTTTCCAACCATCGGGATCCAAGAAAGAAGTGATCTTTGTGTTAAGGCCAGGAATTGGCCCTGGTTGCCTGGTAATCTTCCCTCCAAGCTCTTGAGTTACTATGTTGATTACCTCAGCACTCTTGTATACATCATCAGTGCCAATAGCCACCTGGTATATACACCACACAAATTTTATCAAGTAGTGCAAAAATGTGAAGATACCAGTTAAGTTTCCAAAAAATATATATATATATATATTTAATTAACCTGTGCATAACCATTTCCCTTGGTGTATTCAGTGACACCATAGTTATATGTCAGCTCCAACACAACTGTCTCGTGCTCCTCTGCATACCCAAGCATAGCTAAAGTGTACTGTAGGATATGCGGTGTGAATCAGGAATATCATAAGCAACTCATGGATTATGCTTCAAAAATGCTATGGTCCATATGAAGATTACTAAGACTAAGTTAATAGGGAGCTCACCTTGTATTGAGGTCTATCAACCTTCCTCACCATCTTCAAACCCAAAGTCTGCGAAAATATGATCCAGTAAGAACACAGCCTTAGTTAATAAACACTGTTGGATTAAGTATTATATGTATCAAACTATTCATGTGCTTTCATCCAATATCGTAATCTTTTAGTATTGCTAGTGCCTAGGTCATGACATAGTATCAGTGTATCTAAAACCAAGCGACCCATATATTGATTCTAGTTTGGCCCCGTTATAAAAAATAAATAAAAAATCAGCACAAAGCTGCATTGGCCTATGCGTTGTCCACATATCAAGCCTGTAAGGTTCCTGTCCCCTTATTGGTTCATATCAGAAATAAACATAAAATCAGTAATATCAAAAGCAGTGTCAGAATTGAGTCAATCACGAGAAAAAACTCTTATTTCCCAAATCTAAATTTTTGGTTACAAAATAGAAAATAAATTCAGTCAATTCAAGGTAGCCTAAATAAAAAATAAACCACAATGCAGTTTCTCTACTTCAAGCATAGAAAGTTGGAAACCATTTGATGAAAGAGGTTTTTATTTTAATCATCAACATAAGCATTAGACACTAGACGTCCAAGCAAAAATACTAGATATAAAAACCATTTATGAGCCTTCACATAATAACTCAATCATTTAGGAAGGTTAGTTTATAACAAGTAATTTGAGCTTCTGTGTCCAAATTGCCATGAATTAAAATTTAATCCCTCGCGTTTTTCTAGATAAATATTGAATTCCAGGTAAGGATAGATAGACTTTTACACTGTCAACAGACTCAACACTAAAAGGCCAGTAGAGTAAACTAATGTGACAGGAATGTTAGATATAAAAATCATACACGGGTCTCCACTTAATAGCTTTAGCTTTTGAATATTTGATTTAAGAAATAATTGAAAGCGTTCGCTATAGCAATGAGAAAGGTTTACTGGTAAAAATATGTAACTACAAAGAACACATTTTTTTCAAATTATTATTTTATTTAAGCTGATAGGCCTAAAATTGCTTATAGCTAGTTTCCCAATGGAACATAATCAATGTATGAATGAGTTCATTGACAGGACAATATCATTTCATTCTGATCTTTGGGAGATGCTACAAAGACTGAAAGATGTACTATATTCAAAACATCAGCAGAAGGTAAGGCTTATATGCACACAATTATTATTATTATTATTATCATTATTATTATTATTATTATTATTATCATTATTATTATTATTATTATTATTATTATTATTATTATTATTATTATAAGAAATGAAAAACTATGGTACTCAATTTAGAAAATTTAAGTGGGCCAACATCTGAGACATGAATATTTATGGAACCGAAGTAAAAGCAGAGGTCCTGTAACAATTATGATAGAAGTGAAAGTGATTCTATTAAAATGAATGTTATCTAAAGAAATTGACATGGACGTTACCCTTTCATAAAAGGCAATTGAGCGGTCTAAGTCACCAACACGGAGCATTACTTGGCATAATGGCTCAGGGGTTGAAGCTCTTTCGAGAATTTCAAAAGCATAACCATCAGGATCCTTCACAAAGGCCATAACAGTTGACCCACCACTAACTGGACCAGGTTCCCTAGTGACATTTCCACCCTTAGCCCGGGCGTGTTCAACAAATTTGTAGACCTAAATGGAAGAGATACTCACTTCAATTTCAGTATAAACAGGGGCAAATAGATGAACAAGCTTTTGTGAAAGTAGACTGACTATTGCTTACATCTGGAGTTGCGATAGCAAAATGTCCAAAGCCAGTTCCAATATCATAGGAGGTCACTCCATAATCTGACAACATCATATGTAGAACCCATGTCATGTTCAATTCAACACCCAGTAGACGGTAAGAAAAGGTATATAGAATTTAGAGAATCACAATATGCATGCATGAACAAAAAAAGATTGACAGTGCAACATACTATAAGTTAATTCCACAACGAAATTAGTTTGTTCAGAGCCAAATCCTAGAAAAGCATTGGCATATTTCTCTTCTGGAACATCTCTTTTCCTCAAAAGCTTCATTCCAAAAGCTTCAGTATAAAACCTGAGAGAAAGAGCAAGGAAATTTTTAGCATCTAAAAACACATCACAGCACATTTCAACAAATCCAAGTTAATTAAACCTTACTTGATGGTGCGATCAAGATCACCAACACGGTAAACAGCATGCAGGAAGCGGCGCTTATCTTTCTTTGGCCATTCCAACAGCTCAGCATTAGATTGTGCAGCCTCAGCCATATTCAAATGGGTTCAAATACTCTGCAACATCATCAAAAAGCCATAATTGCTAGTAAGAATATCAAACACAACACGTTTTCTTCGAACAAGAAAACTAATTTTACAAATCAAGTTTAATCATAAGTAAGGTCTCAAAATCTCATCCACATTCACATCAATAATTGTAAAATTCAAATCACAAAATTAGGTGAAAAGTCAACAGGATCATATAAATTTCATATATTGTTTAACAAAGCTACAAACAATCTGACCACCGATGACCGGGCACCTTCACATGATTGAAATGAAAAATTAAAATCAAAATCAATCCAATGAATCAGTGTGTGTGTGTGTGTGTGTGTGTGATTTCATAATTTCACACTTAAACAAGGTCAATGTATGGCTTATTTGGATATAATCGGTTATTTAACGATTAACGATATAACGACATAGAGGCGATGAAAAACGAGATTTCATTTCTTAACAACAAGTAACCTCAAATTGGAACAGTAATAAAAGTTAGAGATGAGTGTGCATAAAATGGAAACAGATTGAGCGAACCCTAACTGCAGAGACAAAGAGAAAGAGAGGTAGTTACCAGTGAGAGAGAGAGAGAGAGAGAGAGAGAGTCACGGAGGATTGTAAGAGAAGAAGAACGATCTCAAAAAACAAAGGAAGATGCATTGCTTTAATAACATTTAATAATTGATAGTAATAGTAATGTAACTATCTACGTGGCAAACGATTATGAGTTGGTGCATCAGGACGGAGTTGTGGGTATGGTGAAGGAGGAGGAGCGGACTTTTTCCTTCTCTCGATAATTGCCAAATGGACACCTTATAGGGCATATTTGATAGTACTTTCAATTTAGGAAATAATGATTTTTTTAAATAAAATTTAGGGTTAAATATGTTTTTTTTTTTTTTTGAATGTTTTCATATTTAAATTTTAATTCTTTTAAATATTTTTTTTTAAGAATGATCCTTTAAAAAATTTTAATTTTATTTTTTTTTGTTCTTTCTGTATTTTAACAATAGTTTTTATAACTTAATGATAAAATTAATAATAATTTTTTATTTAATATAGAATTAGTGACGACTTTGTCATGAGACATTAAAAATTAAAACTAAAATTTAAAAAAAAAATTCGTTGAAAGAAAATTTAATAAAGTTAAAAGTTAAATATAAAATATTTAAGAAGATTAAAATCATATTTAATTCTAAAATTTAATTATAACTTCAATATAAATTTTTGAGCTATAGTTTTTAGAAAATCGTTTTATTTTAATTTTTTAACTCGTATTTATGAAGATGTATCTAAATAAATCATTTTATTATTTAACTTATACCAATCAAAATAAAGTTTCAAAATTAAAATTTAATATAAATATAAGGTGAAATGATTTTCATTGATGAACTTATTGAACAATGTAAATTATCACATCTTATCACGTTGTTATCAATATTTAAAATTAAGGGCATCTTTGAATTATTTTGGTTTTTTTAGTTTTTAAATTGTATTTTAAAGTTGTTTTCAAAAAGAGAACATTGTTAAGAAATTACCCTAAAAAATTTATATTATCATATTTGTAAAAGTATAAAATAATGCGAAAATACACTAAAATTAATGTAAAGTAAAATATATAAAATATTTAATTGTTTTTTTAAAGGTCCCGATAAGTCACCTTATTTGATAGTTATATTGAGACATGAGATGTAAGGTGATGCAAGGAATCTGTGGCATAAAAGTTGGCGTCCAGCATGGACGAGATCATTATCAGGGTTGCGTGTTATATCAAAGGCTAACTGGAAGAAGTGGTCTAGAGATACTATCGAGAAGACGAAAAACAAAGAGGAATGGTCGAGGCGGAAAAAAGAACATCCTCAGGTCGTCCCACGTGACTGACCTGCACCAAGGCCATACCGACGATCCTTCGAATAAGAGGAGGGCCTAACGCCGCTAAATACCAGAAAAAGAGATATCCTTAGGGAGGTAGGCAATCTGAATTTATTACCAGAAGTGCGACGCTTGATAAAAATGAACGCCATAATGGGAAAAGAAATTGGGGCTTGGTACAGCTATCACCGGCTCTAGGGTCACCATACCGACGACTGCCACCAACTCAAAAAAGAGATCGAAGCACTGATACAAAGGGGACATCTCCTAGCATATGTGAAGGACTCCAGGTCATAACCCAAGAAAAGAAGTCCCCGGAGAGACGGCCCAAAATCGGAAAAACCTCCTCATAAAAAAGGAAGAGATATTGATGAGGAGCATAAAACGAAGACAACTCGACATATACTTAACACCATTTCTGGCAAATTCGCTGGTGGAAGAGAGACCAGTTCGGCCAGAAAAAGATATGTCTGGGTTGTGATGCACATCGCCCAGGAATCTTTTGAAGGTCGGGAAGGAGACCTGGATTTTGTTAGCTTTTCAAAACGGGATGCCATCGGAGTCCTGGCCCACGAGAACGATCCAATGGTGATAAAAGTGAAGATCCGGGATTGGAGTGTAAAATAAGCATTAGTGAACCCCGGGAGCTCAGTTGATGTGCTCTAGTGGGATTCCTTCAAGGGAATGAACTTTGATATATAGTCAAGTTGCTACCATAAAGGGCAGCCTGGTGGAATTCTCAAGGGAACAAGTACATGTGCTAGGACACATGTCGTTCCTATCCATCTTAGGCAGCGCAACAAATGCAAAAACAGACACGGTAAGATATTTAATCATCAACGCCGCCTCCCGTTACAAGAAGGAGATGAAAGAGAGAGACTTGTGTATTTTGTTAGCAAAATCCTGAAAGGGGGGCGAGCTACGATATCAGAAGATTGAGTCGTTCTGTTTACCGTGGTTATTGGTAAACAACCACTGATCCTCCAAATGGTTACTTATTTGGTTACTCGCAGGATCGATCAGATTGATCCTAGGACATAGGTTGATTTTGAGGTTTTGATTAAATTGGATATTGGTTAAATGGTAATAAAATAAAGAGGCTTTAAATAAATTGCATGAAGAAGTAGGCTTGGTAAAATAAATGAAGGCTTAAAGTAAAGGATTTCGACAGGAAAGTAAAGAGGAAAGCAAGTAAATTTCTGGAAAAGTAAATGACTTTGATTAATAAAGTTGGTGTTTCACACATACATTTCTCAACAATTCTTTCTCACACGCTGGGTACTCGAATCTATATGAGTGACTTTGTATATAATTGTGAACACACACGAGAATCTGCGTGAACTACTACTATTTATACTAAAACATCCCAAGTAACCGTCGGACAGTTACACTGCTTCGAGATGATCCCACTTGGCATGTTCTCAACGTTCGACGCTCCAGATCTTTGCACGTTGCACTTGGTAACCGTTGGAAACCGTTTTCCCTCCAAATGCTTGAATTTCAAACCGTTCCACTCTGAACCATCGAACACCTTCGTCGAGAAGCATCTTCGACGATAAACACCTTCGACGTCGAAGGCAACCAACTTCTCCCTTGGAAGAAATCTTCTAAGTACATTGCCATCTTTCGATGGGCATTTCGACGGACCTAGCTGGTCGAAAACATCCCTCAGCCTTAATGGCTGACATTAATGAAACAAGGGTGTCGAATTTAGGAGCCAACAAATTGCCCCCCAAGAATGCCTTATTTCGACTCTGAAAGAAAAAGGCATTCTTTGAAATACCATTCGACACCTGTCTTTTCATTCTTAGTCACAAATTAAATTGTGCACTTTTTGTTGTCTTCTACCAACCACTGACAATCCCAAGAAAAACCATCATTCATTCGTACCTAAGACGTCACCTCAGTACGGCGTGCAGTGTGCCAAACGTCATTTCAGAATTTGTCATTATGACAATTCCCAAAAACGAGGGCGCACGCTGCACCCCTCCATTTCTGCAGAACGGCTAAAACAACAGGGAGACGCCACGTGTCCCACTACCCTCTGCAACATTAAATGGCATTTAATGTCCTCGATTTTGGGGATTTTCCCCCACTACTATAAATAGCAGTAAGTACCCGTTGTGGGACTTTTTACGCTATCTAGCTTTCAGACTTCTCCATTTGCATACAAACTTGTCAACTTTGCAAACCTCTTTTCTTCACTTCGTCTTCATCCTCACCACTAACAATGGCATCTGGTTCTTCCAATGCTCCTAGCGCCACCGTACCATCTGGAAACGTCAAACCTAGGGTTTTCTCGACCGCTCCAGTAGTAACTCCCACGGGCCAACGAAGGGTCCCTGAACCTTTGGACATCGCTGTTCGTGATGCTTACTCACGCCACCTTATGATCCCGGTTGGATATTCCAACCAGATCTTTGCTATGTCTGGCCCATTGTACCCAAGCATTGTTGAGGCCGTGAAGATCAAGAGTTATTTTCCAGTAGTTGAGAGACTCAAACCGGTTGTATGCGCCAAGAAAGATGCAGAGGATAATGAAGACCCCACTAAAGAGAAAATCGACCTCCGTTTCTTCAACAAAGGTGTTAGGGCTTTCAGGTCTGGCCCTAGCCTTACTTCTGATTACAGTGCTTGGCTGGAAAAGATGGAGAAACACCAAGCTTCGATCTGGAAAGACATGGGAATTTTCGACCTGGTTATGCTGTCGAAGACAGGTCTTAACTATTCCCCAGAGATGTTGATAGCTTCTCTCCTCTTCTGGGACTACACCCATTTCACCTTTCATCTTCCCTGTGGGATGCTGACTCCCACACTCTTCGATGTGGCCGCCATCACTGGCCTTCGACCCACCGGGGACTACTTCGACCCGGAAGAAATGTCGGAGGATCAGATTGGATTCTCTGCCACAAAACCAACCTACACCACCTTCATCAATCACTACCACGATAGGTCGACAGATGCTGTGTCGGATGTCGAACACATTACGTTTCTAGCCTTATGGCTGACACGCTTCGTGTTTTGTTCCAAGTCCTTACAGGTGACCAAGAAGATGGTCACTCTCGCCACTCAACTCCATCATGGCCAAAATATCTGTTTGGCAGAATTGATTTTGGCTAGCCTGT